GCACGCTGAGAAGCACAAAACCAGAGTACCCTAAAAAATATCAAGCTTTACTCTTCACTGTTCAAACTTTTTCAAAGTTTTTTCAAGAAATAGCTCCACTTATCTTCTTTAGTCATTATGTAATTTCAGTACCACATACTGCTATATGTATACTAGACCAGCTGTTAAAATGTTGAGAAAAGACTTGCAGGTGTTTTGGGCCAAAGTCAAGTGTTAAGCACCATAATACTGCGTTCTTACTCAGGGTATTACATCAAATAGCCTCATCAATTGGGTCCTATTTATGAATTGTATCCCTGTTGTAAAAATAAAGACATAAATTACATAGTCTTATTGCATAGTGCTAACTGGTAAGAAATAAACCAGATTCTTTTTAATACAATGAGATTCTGCACATATTAAACAGGAAATGACTGGGTGAATTTCACAAACACTTTAGAGTCCAAATATCAGAGAAACTACATGGAAAAGAATTAAAGCAAGTCATGCATTCATAAGTAAATAAGGCAGAGACGCTTTGTCTCCTGTTTACATGCCATGTGTGTAAATAAAGAATGAAAACTTTTAAAGGAGGCATCTTGTGGTACATAATAATTGGTAAAATTACCAATTCATTTATTGTTGACTGCAGGCACTTGCCATTTTCCTTGTCCATTACTGAGCTCCTGAATTGGAAATGAAGAGCATCATTACTTAGCTGCACTATTAGCTAATTTTAGTACATGGAATTAGTTTTAAGCACCTGATACATTAATATATTTAGCTTATAGTATCTTTTACTATTGATTTTCTTGAGACTGAAAAGTATTTCACCAAAATATGAGCAGACTGTAATATAAATCTCAATTTGTCTTAATTTATGAAACACCATTGTTAATGATTAAACACTGTATGATGTAATTTGAGTTAGAATACAAGTTTAGATTAACTACTACTTGCAGTTAGAAACAGCAGCAATTCTATTTGGTTTAATTTGTCACATTAATTTTTACATGTATCAGATGGTAAAAGTAGAATACAATGCTGAGATGTATTTCCACCTTGGTGGAAGATTAAGATTATTGTTTCAAACTGCTGCACTGTACTAAGAACAAAAATATCACTATTAAACCTCATTTTTTATTTCTCATTTGATCTTCAGAAACTGTTAGTGATGCAATTATTTTAAAGGGGGAAGAAAAATTATGACAGTTTAATTAACACATGGGTGTTCTGCTTTGTATCGTTCTTAAATGTAAAATGTTAACATTCTATGATACCTTCTAATACAAAAAAAAAAGAAATACAAGGTATATCTCTTTATAGAAATCCTTATCACAAGTATCCTTTATGAGGTGAAATTGTATAAAATGTCATAGCAGGAAGATTATTTTAAAGTAAATGTGTAAGGTCTATTAAAAAACATGGAAGAGAAAATATTTTTCTTTTAATTCTACAGCCACTTGATCAGGGATTAGCAGATCTTAGCCTATGTTTCCTTACTATATATCCTTAGACTGCAGACCCTCGGGAGGGTAAAACAAGTATTCTTTTTACTGTTTCAGGATACAGTCTCTCCCGGGAAAAAAATTACCGAGCCTTTTGCTCCTACCATTTTATACCAAAAAAATAATTGCCAAATAAGAAGAATTTAAATTCTAAGAAATGAATAGTAATGAACTGATAACTAAAATATTGCTTAAAGCTTCAAATACACAAAGATCATAATAATAGTACTATTCTGTTAAGCTATGTATACTTCATCGAAGCCAGTGGAAAGGAAAACATACCATATCACCACCATACCGCAGGCATTTTCGTACAACCTAGCACAAATTCAAAGCTTTCTCTGACTGTGCCCAATAAAACAGCCACAACTATTTTTAAATACATCAGGAGTGCATGACCCCATAAGTAGTAACTTCCCTTTCTTGACGGAGTGCGCATCTCACTTTTGTAAGTGTCAACGATTTCTGGCTGGCTGAGTAGAGACCACGGCATACTCTGCTTTTCTCCCAAAAAGGCCATGTCATTCTTATACAACTTAATCAGTGGCTACATACAAGAAAGCAACACTGCAGCCTTTCTGATCATTTTAATGAGGACCCCTGGCTATTCAGTCATTGAAATATAATTGACTTGCTCTTCTCTTATTTTCATAATAGACACTCCAACCTAGACCACATTTATTTTGCTATAAGAAATGTCAAGAAAGATTGGAAGTTTTCTGAGTGTCCCCATTAAAACTGAAAACATGCCACCCTGTCTTTTGCATTAGCTGCAATCATTTTGTATAGAACTCATTATGCAGATAGAAGATGCAAATGTTTCATCTATCTCACATCTAACCAAACTGGAAGTGCCAAGAAAATAAACATGAGAAAAATAATTTTCTCTTTCTATGTATGTGCATGTGCCTGTGGTGTTTGCATTGTGTCACAATGCCAACACCCGTGTGTGCATGTGCACATACAAGCTCACAGATAACACAGATTAAAGTCCTATTATTTTATTTCAGGTAAAATCAAAGGTTGTTTGGTACACATTATCACAGCCAAGGATGAGCGTTTTTCAATGAAACAGCTCTACATAATAATAACTATTACTTTAAAATCAAACAAGCAGCAGAATCCATTCAAATGTGAAAACATGGTCATGCACAGGAAAGTATTCAGTGTTGGTTTTTAACTAGAATAACGAGTGTTTGCGTGACAGATGTGTTATTTTGAAGTCCTAGTCACTTACTGTGACCACCCAGTTCACTAAATAAAATATCAGGTAAAGAGCTGAGTCTACTGCGTGCTAACTAAATTCTGCTCAGATCTAGCTAGACTGTGACACACATTTCCCAGCTGAACACAACATTGCATAACATACCTAACACGAAAAGTCACTCACTGTCAACTTTGCAAAATTGCAAAGCTGTGCAATTTGCAGTGTAAACAGAAGATACCTCTTCCTGTCAAGTATTAACACATACAGTATCTTACTGATCCTACCAGTAAATACTAGCCATATTACCATCATCATTTTTTAGTAAAGACATGACTACACAGGTGTCATTACTTAGCATGTTACTAATCACTCCAAGGAAGACCCTCACATCTCTCATGACTTTCCAATCAGGTTTTCAGCCATCTACATCCAAAAAACCTTTATATGATTAATTAATAATCACATAGACTTAACAATAAAAGGATCAGAAATATAATTGCTATAAGATCTGATATTTTAAAATCTGCATTTGAATAGGGAAAGGGGATTGATTTTTCCAAGACTTAGAAAATTCTAATGTATTATACAGTATTACAGAAGGGACATAAAAATCGTACCTTACCTTGAAGCAACTGCATACTGAAATAATAGAAACAGGTGGCAAAACAGATATTTAAGTCAATATTTAATGCCATATATTATACATTTTCCTCATAAGGGTCCTAACAATTCCTTTACCCATTTTTAGCATAAAAACATAAAAGTATCATTCTGTATGGCATATTTACAGTTTATCTTTGATATCCTTACAAACAGGGCTTGAGAGGGAGGGTTTCTGGGCCTCATATTAATTGGGTGCTATGCACCAACCAAACCCAGCCCCAGAGCAATGGAGCTGGGTCCTTCTCAGCTGCCCCACACTGTCTTCTCCTACAACTCAAAGATGCTGCTACACAGCACATTCAGGAAAAAAGACTTGCAATCATCATGCAAGCTATCTGTTTGCATGTATATCCTGTCACCAAGCCATGGCTCCTGCGCTCTCACACAGATTACTCTGGGCCTGGCAGAAATAATCAGCGTACAAGAGGGAAGGGAATAACCCCTAGGCTTCCTTTGGATCAACATCAATGCACATGTTCATGCTACTTTGGCAACATACGGGTGTACCTCACGGAGCACTTTATGCATAGCATCAGTATTTGGACACTGACATATAAAGGTTTTAGTAATGAAAGCATGTACAAATACAGTTTTAATAAACACGGATAATGTTATATAATTTAGATATCCAAAACTGGAACTCTTGAAGTGACTTTTATTTACCTTTTGCTGGAGTGCTGTAAAGATTTTATATATAAAACTTCTAGATAATGAGATTTCCAAATTTTTTAAATGGAAATCATAAAAAAAAAATTCAGTCTTCTCATGAGAATTTAGTCTTTAAATTGGAATTATAAATAAGTAAATCTTTGTTTCTAACCCAGCTCCATGTTCAATAAGCACTGTAATAAATGTAATTCTTAAAGAGCAACCAAGACCTATTATATAAATTAACAACAAAACAAAAATTCTGTAGCTAGTTTCACACAAAATCTCCCAGTTTATTATACATACCTTCTTAAAAGTGAGCATGTTTCATAAGGAAAACTAAAAGGACTTCTTTTTGAGAGCTGCTTGGCTGACTGATATCTGCCAGGTGCCACCAGGTGAGACGAAACACAGCCAACAGCAAACATTGGAACTCTGCTGTGCCACCCTTCCTGCTCTCAGTCTGTGGCCAGGCAGCCAATGCATCCAGCTGCCCTGGCTCTCTGACTACTTTGTGGCAGAAGCATTCAGAAGTAGTAGGCAGAAGTAGCAGACTACTTGCTGAATGCCATCCATTCAGCATTTCATTCAGCCGTCCATTAGGACCATCCAAAGGGCTCCAACTGTTGCATCCTTCTTCTTACAATCCACTTTAAGATACCATTATTTCTTTTTTCCGTAAATTTGCATCCTGGTTCTTGCCTGGTTAAGTATATCTTCCCCTCTGGCCTCCACAAAATGTCTGTTTCCCCCAGGCAGTCCACCCAGGAAGAGGCAGGAACATTTTCCCACCACACAGGTCAGGAAGCATCAACCCTCACAAGTATTATGTATCAAGTAAAGATTTACTTTGTCTGACAAAACAGATTTACAGGGAGAAACAGGATTATAACACAGGAAAACAACAAGTTTTGGGGCTCGATTTACAGGGAGAAACAGGATTATAACACAGGAAAACAAGTTTTGGGGCTCAGCCAGCTTATTCTGTTTGTTTCATGTTTTCTCCTGTGATTTGGAGAAGGAAAAGGCAGGGAGGCCTTAGCTTTGTCTTGCTCTCTGTGTAAAGGACCCTTTCAGTCAGGAGATCACCCACCTCCTGTTAAGAAAAATGACACCGAGGACCAAGTCTGCCTCCCAGGGCTGGGGACTTGTATTGCAGTCCAGATGGATGTGATTTTGAAAGATGGTTGTACCAACCCATGTGGACAACATGTGCTTCCTGTAACAAAGAGAAAAGCCTGTTCAGCCAGAGCATGATGACATCCTTCTATCGCTGTTCATCAACAGAGCTCCCACGTCCAGTCCTCTCTCATTAGGCTTGAAGACTTTGCCTGGCCTGACATTCGCCTCCATGCGTTGTCAAAGATGTCTTCCTTGTGCACCTCTCTCTCAGATGTCTCCATGTTATTTTCAGACTGTTCCCCACTTCAGGAAAACAGTGTTACTATTCCACCTTGATGTGCCTGAGGAAGCACTTCTCCCATCTCGATCTCTCATTCACCCAGAGAAGATGGCTTTAAAAACAGAAATTAGGTGAAATGGAAAATGACAGGGGATATGGAGGAAAGGTGGAAGGAAGAGAATGTTATTGTATTTAACCTCCAGGAAAGCAATGTCTACTCTATATTTTTCAACTTGTATTTCACCTTAATCAAAAAGTACTTTTGCATAAATAGGCAGAATTGTTTGCAGGCTGGGGTGTTTGTGGTAGCTGAGAATGGCAGAATTCAGACCTTCTGTCTTGTGCTCTCTCATTGAAAGCCAGAAGCACTGCTTTCTACTTCTTTTGCAAAAAAAAAATAAAAATAAAAAAAGGGAAAAATATAAAACCCTGGCCATACTGTATTGTGAAAACAATATAATAATTATATTGTATAACACACAGACTATTGCTGGTTCTAAGACATCAACAGTGCTGATATCTTTTGTTCTTAATAAAACACTGAGGCCTTTGCCCTTCTGATTGGCTATGTCTACTATGGAAAATGCTAGGATTTGGAGGTTGAGGCAAAAAGCCCTTGTGGGCACATCTGGACCAACCACCCACCTGCCACCTGTGTGAGGAATTGGACTTGGTGTCCCAAGGAGTCACAGACATGTGCTCTTACAAAACCTTCAACACTGGTATCTAGCAAAAGAGATGGGTAAATAGTCAGTGTCTGATGGGACTTGCATTTTCAAACCATGCGGAGGTTCCCCTCCATCCCACAGGCCTCCAGTTTCTCAGAACAAAATTTTCTGGACTGTGGGTTGGCCACTCATAATCCATCTGATTTATTCTAGAAGATGTTACTGAGCAGATGACAGATCTCGTTCAGGCTCCTTTAGGGAAGTTCAGAAATTAGTAATCTTCCAAGTGCCCTATTTTTTGTAGTTATTTCCAGTCCTCCTAACTGTTAACCAGCCCCTTAGGGCTCCAGAAATCCCACAAAAGGAACTTATTCTCCGAATAAAATCTGGGATATTTTTATACTTTACAATTCCTCCAAAATGCTACCTAAGAAAAAGAAATCAGAGAATTCCTTATGCATGATAATGTTGTTAGTGACAGCTTTGGCTCTACCATTACCAAAGCAGGAAGTACTTTTTTTCCCTTTTGAGTTACTCTGCATACATTTAGCATGGAAAATTAGGAGAGTATCAAATGTACTGGACAAAAAGCAGCTTTGATAATGTCTTTTCCCTGCAAATTTTTCAACGCATGAAGTGTCCTGTGCAGTGTGTTGTTTACCCTGACTATGAAGACCAGCTTCTACCCACAACAGCTTGGATAGTTTGATGTATTGGAAAAATAAATGTTCTGATTAATTGCATATAAATCCAGGATATTTTAGACAGCCCAAAGGAAGAGTAGGACACTAGGTAAAAGAAGGAGATTTATAGTCACTTTCTTGTTAAACCATGCTGGACCAAAGAAGTAAAAATACAGCCATCAGAGGGAATGCTCTAGCTCTCAATGAGATTAATGGGAAAAACTGTATTGCTGCTGGAGCATACTCATAAGAACTCTTAGAACTTAGACAAAGTCTGCTGAGTGCCAAAGAGGGAGAGAGTAGATTTTAGGAAGAAGTATGCATCAAATTACTTCTGAGAATCTGAGCCCTACCCTCTACCTGACATAATTTTAAACAAGCCATCAAAGGCTTTAGAAAGCTATAGATCTTCAAAAATGGGCAATGAGGCTGAAAAGAGGGATAGCCACATAGTTGAGCCTTCCCAAGCTTGCATATTTAGCAGTGAGTAACTGGAATTGTTGGTCTAAATGCATTGCTGTCTTTGTGTTTGTCGTGGTTTAAACCCAGTCAGGTAACTCGTTCACTCACTCCCCCCTTTCTTTCCCTCCCCCTACTCCCAGAGGGACGGAGAGGAGAATCGAAAAGAATGCAACTCCCACAGGTTGAGATAAGAACAGTTTAGTAACTAAGGTATAACACAAATCACTACTGCTGCCACCAATAATAACAATGATAAAGGAAATAACAAGGGAAGAGAATACAACACCTCAGCACCAGCTGACCGATAACTCGCCCCCCCAAGCCCGACCAAGCTCCAACCGATACCTCCTCCAACCCTGCAGTCTCCCAGCCCTTCCGGCTAACTCCCAGTTACATCCTGGCCATGACGTGCTGTGGTATGGAATACCTCTTTGGTCAGTTTGGGTCAGGTGTCCTGTCTCTGCTTCCTCCCGGCTTCCCCTCCTCCCTGGCAGAGCATGAGGCTCACAAAGTCCTTGGCCAAACCAAAACATCGCTATCAGCTCTGTTACCGAGCTGAAAGTCAAAACACTGCACTGCACCAGCTACCAAGAAGGGGAAAAATGACTGCTACTGCTGAACCCAGGACAGTGTTCTCATAATTTAAAATATTTTAAGCTATTGGAAATATTTGCAGATTTTATTATACACATATATACATACACAGATATGTGTAGGCACGCACCAAATACCATTGTAATTATGATACAGTATGTTCAATATCATATATAAATTACAGCCTTATTCTTTTTCCCCTTACATGGGGAGAATATGTATTTTAACAAAAGGAGCAATAACCAAAATATCACCCCAAAATACCACTTCTGAAGTATATCCAGATAATCCAGAACTTTAAATATTTTTTTTTTTTTTTTTGCATCTTTGCCTGTACTCTGTGATATTTCAGAGATTCACTGTGCCCTGACTGATGTTTTTTGCTTTTTTCCTCATTTGAACAGGGGAAGCCTAGGGCAGTGGATGTCACTGGGAGTCAAGGTGCCTCACAGACAGGCATGCTTGCCTTCAGCAAGTCTATAGATTTGATCCTCAAGAGCTCTTGGTATCTCCAAGGAGAAGAGGAAACTAAAAAAGCATTCTGAATATCCACATTTCAGATGCAAACACCTAAATCCTTCTGCAATCTCTATTCTCCCTGAATACGATTGCTGTTTAATTACGATGCAAACATCTGAGCTGCTCATTCTGAATTCTTTGTGCAGTCAGTAGCACTTTGAGAAACTGATTCATCTGATCTCATACAGACATCTAAATCAAGACAAAATAAATCACACCTAGAATTGCTTATTTCTCTCCAGTGACTTTGAATAGCATAGGATGCTTAGCTGGGATTTGGAGACCTCCATTGCAAGTGTCTACATTTGCTAAGGTGAATCCTATTGCCAGTTGCCTTTTTTTCAGTGCAAAACTACTATACAACTCATCCTAGCAGGAAAACAGTGGTCATAAATGCATCAATGACTCTGAGATACTGGGATCCCTGACCTTGGTGATGCATTATATATATCACTTTCAGCATTTGTTGGTCTATCTTTAAGTATGGCTACGTTCAAATACAAATTAAAGTTTCTTCCAACTAGTTAAAGCTGTAAAATTTGTGATGCAAATAGAAGTTCAAGGTGGGAGTAAAGGGCCCACCATTAATGTTTGAATTTTTGGCTGCATATTTGAATATATCCCCTCTGGAATCCAATCATGACCCCAGTATTCATGCCAAATAATGTCTTGCTTTACCAGTTATTGTTCAAAAGGCACTGTTGGAAAGTGGACATTTGCGTTCAAAGTTCTTGAAAATGTGGAAATGCAAAAAGAGGCAAGCAAGTAGAAGCAAGTCGCCTTAGCTAAAGGTATTGTTCTAAGCCTGTCAGGAAGCGTGTCTCTATCACACTGAGGTTCAAGACACATACCAATATGGTTTGTTTTTTCAAATGTAATCAAGTTGACATCTATCTACACTGATTACACTTCAGAAGGGGAGAAGGAAATTCAGGAGGTGGAAGAGAGGTTCTCTGCTCTCTGGTGACTTCAGATGTATGCTCCAGAGGGTAGCTTGGGCCTTTGGGCATAACCCTGAGAGATGGGTGGTGCATAAGGAATCATCCCAGAGGCCTTATGCCTCAGAGGTGCTCTTCCCTATTCCTGCTTGCTCCTCAAGGCAGTAATTTGTTGCTGGTCTACACCAGCAGCAAATTATAGCAACCCCCATGCCAGTTCATCTTGCATCTGGGAACTGGAGGAGGCGGGTAGTGAGGGACAGAGGGCTCTGGCCTTTGCCTGACCATCTGCCTGGTGAGGTACTGGTACTATTTAGTAGGTTTTCCACCAACTCTCCAGTGCACGAAGCAGGGGGAGCCGCAACGACTCTGAAGCTTCATAGTCCTGACTGTGCTGTCTGTCAAACACAACTCATTCTGCCCTTTTCTTCTGACTCCTGCAATTCACAACCACAAAGGAATTTCCAAAATCACAGCAGTAAGACTCTGCTCCACTTAAGCCCTTTTTGCATTGGAGAGATTGTGTGGTTCAATTATCATAAAATCATAGACTAGTTAGGATTGGAAAGGACCTTATGATCATCTAGTTCCAACCCCCATGCCATAAGCCCTTAAAAAGCCAGCCAGAGAAGTGCTGACTAGCTCTTAGCATATTTACGTAGCATCCCGAATGTCAAGTAACACTTCTCTTCATGGCAGCACAGGTCTACTACATTGTTCTACAAATGACAAATGTTACTATCACAGGAGGCACCAAATGAGTCTGACAAGTTACTAGCAGACCTTTATACAGACTGCATTTTCATTCTCCATTTATGGTGGCAGTTTATCCAGACTGCCATTTTTAGCTCTTTGCATGATAGTTCAGCTGGTTTATATTGCTGTTTGGTTATCACAGGGGTTTAAAAATCATTCTTACAAACACAACTCCGTTCTCATTGCCAACAGCATTAAATAGAGATCATTTTATTAAGAGTCAGAGTGCTAGAGATCGCTCTTGTTTTACTGGTCTTGCATACAGGGCAGAAAACAGAGTCAGGAGATCAGGCTCTTTTAATTAATATGCTACAAGTGTACCCTACAACCTTGAACTCATTCCTGAAGAGAGCTAGCCCTTCCCCTGCATGCCTCATTTTGCCAGTGGCGATAGAAGATGGAGTGACACATCACTTTTTAAAATGTCGAGTCACATACTCCAGCTATATTGCTAATGTTAACATAAACACAACCTCTCATCTTTTTATTTCTATTTTTCTTCTTCTTTTCTTTTCTTTCTATTTCTCTTGTTAAAGTAATTTACTTGATCTTTGCCAAGCACCAGTATATGGATATGATACTACTGCGAGACATTTGGATGTTTCTGTCAGGGAGTCCTGCCGTTAGCTAGCACACTTGGTGAGCAGCTAGTGCATGGTCTTTTGGCTGACTTCACTCACCTCCATCTGCTAGACAGGCTGTGTACTGGCTCACAAGTCAGTAGACCTGTTTCACTAGGACACAAGTGCCAGCAAGGATGCACTTGCACGGACAGCATGCACAGTACTGTCACATGCCTTCTTTGAAAGATAAGAGTAATTTGTGACATGGTATGACACTACTGGTTTTGGACTGCCACCTCAAGTTGCACCTCTGTTTTCAGGGAAATCACTGAAGAGGATGGTTCATCATCAAAACATTACTGAGGGGTTTTCACGTGCACCTCTGTTTCCATCCAGAGGTGCAGTCCTTCTCCCAGTTCTTCATTTAAAAGGGAACTTGTGTGCAGCACTTCTATTTTCTCCTTGGTGACTCCAGTGTCTCCACAGAGCCTGCAAGTACGATATGACAGAAGACGCCAATAAATCTTAAGCTCTTGCCTGAACATACATATCTAAGCTTCACTTCCTTGAGTAGAACAAGGAAGAATTTGGATAATAAATTGTAAAATAAAGGTTTGCACCATCAAGTTATGCACACTTGCATATTAAAAAAAAAAAAAAGACGACTGCTATCCAGGAAAGGATTTTTACCAAATCTCCAAATCTGACACTGCACTCTACCAGCTAACAAAGACTGGATAGATTAACTTCTAAGTCACTAGGTCACATCTTTTTAAGCCAGAAAATCACAAAATGACATCTAGTTATTCATCTGTATATTAAGGAATGCAGATTGTATGTGTTTGTCTGTGAGAGACACTAGCAATTTCTCATGGACTTTTGGGGTGTCCTGAGCTCTATAGGGGACTACAAGGAGATATGAAGACCAATTTCAGGCTTAGAAAAAGCTCCATGAAGTGGGGCTATGCAGTTAACATCACTAACACACTGTCTACACTGTAGTTGTACATGGTAATCCTGCAGCAGCTCATACCCAGTCCTTCCTCTCTGCCCCCTAAGTTTTCAAACATGTCATTTATAACATGGCCCATGCTTTTAACCCTTGGGTACAGGTACCCAAACTGAAACAAAAATTCAAGCAAGCTCACAGGATCATTGATAGCATCACCTGCCCACTGCCTTCCCATAACTCCCTCCATCATGCATAAATAAAAGGAAATCCACCAAGATCCTGGAGATAGGGCAAAGTATCCACAGGGAAAAATACCAAAGGAAAATGTACCAAAAGCACACATACAGCTGTAGAAGGGGAACACAGTCAGATTAGGCTAACCATACTGATTTAGCTGGTCATTTGTAAACTTGGGCAATAATGGATTACAAAATTGACAATCCACATATCAAAAATCTGGTTGCATAGAAAATCCTAGAACAAGACCCTCACCTGCTCACAAAATTCTCCTTAGAACTGCAACAAGGAGGTTTTCTAGTGGAAATAATAAATATTTGTAGATGGGAGAGGGAGATTCTTTTTTTATCAGAAATAAACTCATAGATGTTATTTCTCTGAGAATAAATTGCTAATATTTAATTGCAGGATGACCATTCTACCTGCTTTGTTGAAAATTCATTCTTTATATGACGCTAAAATTCAGTAAGATTTTCGGTAAAATTAGAGGGGAAAGTAGCAAGCATTAGTACCTATCTTCTGGCATATTTTTCTACAATTAAATAATATATACTTATCCCACCAAAGTATTCACACTTTCAAATATCACTATGACAATGATCCATGCAAATTTACTGTGCTTATGCCAAAACTTGTTACTCCTAATTATTCTCTTATTACACATGTGCCTTAATAGAGTTGCATAATTATTTTAATTGTTGACTAAAATTTTAATTCAACCAATTTTACTTACTCACTACAGATATAAACAGAGATACATCACAGTGATGGTAAAACTGATCACAGATAGATGAGCAACAGGCTGAAGACTTTAATAATCAAGTAAAGCCCAGATCTGCACTTCCACTGGACATGGAGGTTCAAGCTCTCAATTCCTTAAACACAGAAAACTACTTTTTAATATCTGTTTTTCAATTTGTGACACATAACATCTGATCCCCAACCATTAAATAATAATATCTGTAAAATGTATTGCTCTGAATTTCAGTATTATATGCCAAATATTTTGATACTTATTCAGATGAGATTCTTCATTGGTGAATTTGGTGGTCTTAGTTGCAAAACCAGTAGAGCACATTTTTGTGAGAAGAATCTAATCCAGTGACCCTAGTGGAATGGAATAATTTTTTAAAGACAGGGCACTCTGCAAACCAGATTTAGTACACAGGCCAGATTGCAATTAATTAAAATGTAATTGCTAATACAAAAGGGCTCCTTCTCGTCTCTGTGAGGGAAAAAAAACAATACACAGGTTTTCTAGCAGCAAAGTCATTGGCAATTCTCCACTCCTTTCTGTATACCTACCTCAACCCATTTGTAAACCATATTGCTGGCGCCATGCTGCCTTGGGGATGGGAGACCGGAGGTGCTGCAAACCAGGACTGATGTGCCTGACAGAGCTGCACAGCAAAGTCTGAGTGATGGCCTGAGCCATGCCCAGCAGTAGCCAAAATTGTAGAGTCGTTTTTCTTTCCTGGAGCGCTGCATTCGACTACAATCACAAATGTGGCATACACAGTAGCCAGTCAGCTGCCAGTTGAATCTATATATATTCTTACATTATGTTTTTGAAAGCCATGTAAGAAAAAGGTTTTGCATGCAAAGAAATACGCTGCAGCTTGGTGACTTACAAAAAGCTTTGGGGGGTAAAGCCAGAGCTGTAGATCAGAAGATATTGCTTGGCATGAACTGGAGTGCTTTCACTTAAAATAAGCATTCAAATCTGAATACCTCTGCCTAGATACGAGCTATAGCTTGTCCCAGTGCAGATGGAATTTGTTTAATGTATTATTGTGTCCCAAATTAATGTACCAGCTGGGAAAGATGGTATTCAGCCACTTAATTCTGTAGCAACCAGTAAAATCAGCTATATCTATTCTATGATTCTATTTATAGCTGTATTTTGCTCCAAAGGTATTCAGATATAATAATAGAAATATATCTTTAAAAAGCAGAGGGGCCAAGACTAAAGGACCTATCTAACAAGTGAAATAGCTTATCAGCCCTAATAACTTTTTTCAAATACTTTCTAAATTGCTCAATCTATGGAGTAGAATTTAGTTATAGGATGAATCTTGGGTTATACTGAACAGGAGTCATAAGAGAGTCATACCCTTCCATGACAGCTTCAAAACTGAGAGCTTTTGACTCCACGTTCCCTATTATTTTGTAAAAACCTGCAGCAGCCGTTCTCAGACCCTGCTTTATTGTCTGTTACTGTGTTCGTGTTCATGGATGAATAAGCACTCTGAAACTGTGACTTACTGTTTAACACGTTTTCCCAAGTGCCCATTGAACATCATTTCTAAAAGGTGAGAGCCTATACTGAATACCTGCAGACTTAAACTTTGATATTTAGATTTACAACTCTAAATAATTTCTTTTGCCACTAAGGATAGTAGTGTGCTTCAGAGATGGTGTCCTTTGTAGCTTAGCCACCTACAAGAACAAATAAAATGCTTTCTGAGTTTTTTTCTTTGTCTAAAAAAAGCACCATATTTTGTCCTCTTCTTGATGCACATACACAGAAAACCAGCAGCTCAGTTCTGTTAAAGAGATGGCTGGCAACTGGTTTCTGAAAATCTCCCATGTATTTTCACTGACAGCTCTAGGACCTCGGCAGACTAAGGACAAGCAGCCAACAAAAAAATAGTATTGTTTTTTTCCCTTTAATTAGAATCCTGGTTAGATACATGTGATCAGGAAAGTAGTATCTGAAAACTCACATTACAAAGACATTTAAAAACAAAGAAGAAAAACCCAAAACAAACAAAAAACAGAACTGGGAAAAATTTTGCACCTTCTCTGAGAAAGGAAATCAAATCAAGTCTACAAGTCTTTGTGCTGCAATTCATCCTGATATAATTTGTAACAGCCAGGAAATTAACACTAAACAATGAAGCTTATAATGAAAACATTGTGAGTGGCAAAATTAACATAATACAGAGAGAGCCTCACTGCCTGTCTACCAACAGCTAAGGTCCATCCCCCATATGCAGGATGCTCAAGGAAGAAAAAACAGGCCAGGTTTGTAGCTGCTAATCAGTGTTGGTAGAAAAGCAGTGTGCAGCAGCAGAAGAAAAAGACGAGATTAAAGTGAATATTGCACTAATGAGCGTGTTCTTCCTGCTGAAAGATTTCAATGTAGACTGTAAATCCCTTTCTCTCCTTCACATGCTTATCACAAATGTCTCTATTTGGTAAATTTAACAGCAGAACTATATGGGTGGATGCCAAAGGACATGCATTTAGGTCTGCACCTAAAAAGGATTGAAGAGTTTTGATTCCAAATCCTACAAGGCCCAACTTCAAAGCACCTGGCCAGGGAAAAAAATTCCAATCCCTGCGCTAGGTCTATAGTATTATGCATGATACAAAAGCTTAGTTAGGCTGTGTCTGTATTAGGGAGTACTGCAGCCCAACAGGAGCCAATTTGTAGTGTCGAAGTGTTGGTGCTGGGAACCCACTCACTGCAGAACATGCATTTTGTGGGCTTACATCAGAGCATTCCAGCCTGGTTCCACAGACCAAATACTTCAGCACTGGAGCATACCATTTGTCCTCCTGGAACACAGCTTTTGGTGTAGTTTCTTGAAAAAGAAACCAGACTGAGCACTGTGAGAGCACTCTGTGATGCAAAGCAAGTGCTGTGAATGGGGATGAGTGAGACATTCAGTTCAAGAATGCAGTCCTGATCCAAGAGAAGATATCAATGCACATACTTTTTATTGCCTCAAACTAGGCCTTTCAAAATAGCTGCAAAATGAGGAAAAAACTGTCAGAACAAGCTGAAAATATCAGCATATTCTAAATCTACCTACTGTTGGAGATGAAGTGTCATGTTCACAAGTGTTCCTCACCCAGTTCATAGCTAGGACCCTCCATAGAGCATGGGGTCTTCATTGTAATGAAGGCTGTAGAGAAGCACCTCAACCTTTTTATTCAGCTAAGGAGTCCTTACGGCAGAGACTTGCAGCCCCTAGATGTTATCACTGCACAGACTACTGCACACCGGTGTCATAGCACTGTCACTGGGAAGCTGAAAAAGCTGCAGGACTTAACAGATCACCTGCACCCCATCTCCCATGTTCTCTGAACCCACCACTGTCTGATCTACTCACTGTCCCAACATGATCTATGAAGTTCCCACCTGTACTGTGGGCTGCACTGGTCCTTGTTTCATATCTACCTGCAAGGATTCACACTTTCTAGGACCCAGTCTGGCAAAGGCAGGAATGTTTTCTACCCCTCCTATTCTGTTACATAGAAAAAGAGTTCGCAATACACTGAGATTAAAATACATATATATGTGTGTGTGTGTGTATATATATATATATATACACAGGCACACAGATTAAACACTAGTCTGTAGATCAGCAACCTCTATATACTTTACAGGAGAAATATATCCAAACAAGATTAAGCAGAGAAGCGACAGGGCTGATCAGAAATATAACTCATTATAGCAGGTCTTCCTTGCAACGGTGAGTAGTCCTGCACTCCCCAGAATGATCTCTGGACTACTCAATGATCAGCAGGGAAAAAAAAAAAGACGACATGTAACCTAGGTTCTCTAAGGTCTGCCTGAGCACACTACAGACCAAACACCTCTGACTGAGGAAGCACCAAAACTTCTCTTTCACTCTTTTAAAGCCAGACACTGCCAGCTTAGTATGGAGCTCAGTATGTAGGTGGTGTTGGCTGTGCCCTGAGAAAGCCCCATGCACTCAAGGTACTCAGGCTGTGGAGGTTCTGAACCATAGGATTTCAGATCCCAAGAGAGCTTAGAAATAAAGTGAGATCCAAAATATCATCCTCTACTGACTGACATTCAATAGAGAGGAAAAAATAAAAAGGGAAAAAAGAAATCAAAAGAGCTCCAAGAGACTTTAAGGGCTACAAATCAGACAAACATATTCCAGAACACAAGACTGGCGTCACTGAAGACCTTTTAAGTGTTCAGTGTTTTTTTTAAATTAAAGCACTAAGGTGTACCATAGCTTAAATTATTTGTGTGCTCAGGATGTAATTTTAGTATCTATATCCTGTTTGTTTCTGCCTTCATTGTGTTTGGCAATGACTTTACAAAGACTACTTGACATTCTGCATGCATGAGTCTTATCCACAGGCTTGTTGAGCAAACCTGAGATGCACTTGGTGAGTCTAAGCAGCCAGAAGGGGGAAGAAGGCAGCAAAAAAGGCAATAGCTATGTTTCTGTCTTGTTACTCACTAGGAGAGGAAAAAAGAAAGTAACAGTGAGAAGGAAGGGATGTATTTGGTCCCATCACAAATTACAAGGGAGTGAAAGTTCCTGGAATTCTCCAAGATGTGCTCTGCTGACTAAACAGTTCTAGGCTGATGTCTCCAAGGAACATTTGCAAACTACCACTGAGGCAATAAAGGCACATAGATAATTGCTTCATTTTGATAACAACTAAGAACTGACATCCTAATCCCTATTTGGCTCCATGGGCTAGTTTTCAGACTTCTTGGACTCTTCTAGTATCAGAGGGTATCTAACACATTCAGTTAACAGTTTTACCCAAATTATAATATATTGATGTAAAATTGGATGCAACTTCACATCCAAACCACAGAGAGCACATAACAATGTAACAGCAGCTGTTGTTTTCTGGGTTAGTTTATTAACTTTGAACTAGAAATATTAAGCTCCTTTTATACTCTATTTTTACTCGTATAACTGATACTCGTAAATGAACTTTATTAAATATCCTGTAACCATTTCAACTACAGAATTGTTTTGTTTACAGATCATTCAGTGATACAGACTGAACTCCAGCCACGGCAAAAACAGCAATTAATTGACTCTCATTTTGAGTCACATGGTAGCCTACAGATGAAATCATGTGTTTGTGTGACTGCGAGTAATAATACACAAAGGAATTCATGTCATTATATGTCTAGTGTGCTATACAAAGAACCAGGGAAGCCACAAGATCCTTATCTTAGAAGAGCTACCTAAAATGCCATCTGCAGTTGTCAAATGCTGAGGAAAGTATTATTGCAGCCAGGAATTCCAAAACCAAACCTATTTATCTCAACAAGCCCTAAAGTGTGAGTGCAGAAGTGAAACAAAACAGACACTGCTTGCTGAAAGCACTCGTATTTTGGAGCAAAAAGTGGACCCAAGTGTCCAGGTTTAGAGAATGAAATTAAGATCAGAACACCATGCAGGACTGCAGTTCCACACTGACATACAGCAAATCCACCTGTGGGCTGCTGCACTGCCCTTCGTTCCCACTCTCAGCCCTCTCCCAGCTCTGGCTACATATTCCAGCCTATGCACCTTGAGCCAGAGAGGACAGATGATCTGGCTGAAGACTTAATTTCCTCTTTACAAACTCTCCTAATTTCAGTGTGATATTCTAACACCTTCAGTCCCTCCTAGATCTAACCGTGGAGCCCCGCATCTACTATTCTGACAGGCTGACAACTGGTAATTTGAAGTCAACCATAAAATACCCGACCATGGGAAAATCAGTGACAGAACAAAACTTTAATTCAGAGCTCTTGATACTACAGGCATCAGACTGTCTCTCCTATCACCATAATCATCATTTCAGGCTATACAGATAGAAGTCCAGACTTCTATCTCTAAATGACATAATGGAGAGTTTATAACATCACAGAGGCTCAAGAAAAAGACTACAAACTTTTAAGACGTACTTTGAACATCTTGTTTTCTGTAACAGAGGATTGGACGCATGGCTGTCTTCTCCTGATTTCCTTCATATAAATTCAGACACAAGCCCACAGGGGGCTGTTAAGCATAATGATTCAAATTTTGGCTGACGTAATCGCTAATCTCGTATGTTCTGGAAGCTTAGAGGATGTACAAGAGTTGGGATCAGTCTGCTACAAAAACTTTAGCCCTTCAGGTATACCCTAAATATCTGCTATTGGTCTAGAAGAAGGTAAGAGATTCACCCAACCTTTGACTAGACTCTTTGGCTAGATCTCCTTATGCTTTCGCACCCTTGTCATTACCAAACACTGCTTGACAACCAGAGTTATGAAAACATAAAGCCAGGTCAGTGACACATAATAACACAGATGAAAATAACTCGCCCTGTCTCCATTTCTTCTGTCTTACATAGTGAACGTGAGGGATTGTTTCTTCAAAGTGGAGGTTGGGAAGAAGCTACAGTAAGCTTTGGGGGGGGGGAGGCAGGAGGAAATAACCATCGTGGAGATCTCTGGGATGAGAATGGGGTGTTCTACCAGAGTACCAGGTAAACTGAATTCAACAATAAGGAACTACTGAATCATAAGAAAAGTGTACTACAAAAAGTACAAGGTAGGATAGGATATGTAAAGAAAGGTCTTGTTTATCAACATAAAATAATTCCTCCAGGGAATCAAGAAAATATCAGAGGAAAAATAAAACTGGGGGGAAGAGGGGGAGAGTTCTGTTTTAAAAGCCTTCAGTAAAATTCAGCAACAGAAGGCTATTAAGGGACTCACTGTAATTTTAAGATGAATAGTTTGGAGATTAGAATTAAAATTGACTGAGAGGATGAAAGAACAACAGTGAATTTTCTGTATAACAGGTGATAAATAGACATAATTAAGGCAATATTGCGTAATATAGAGAGGACCCATGGTAGCTGGAAAAGAAAAAAGAAAGGCACAAAAGTCTGGGGTCACAAAAGACGCAGATGACATGAAAGCTGTCGGGCTCTAAACTCACAAGCACAGACGCAAAGTTGAATGTTTGAACCTTCAGCAAGCAGTGCTGTAGCAGCTCTGTGCATGTGTGCAAGCTGTGCATTTGAAGCCTGAGAATCCATCAGGCTGTACACTGAAAAACAGGCATAAGAAAATTGTCCTCAATTCACCCAGGGAATGTTTCCTGTGATTTAGGAAAGGCTATGCTGCTTTTAGAGCTCAAGATTTGTGCTTATATCTTTATAAAAAGGTGGCTTCACCCACCAGGCCTCATTGATGGAGGTTTGATTGGACCCTGGGCAGCTGCTGAAATCCCTTACAGCAGCTGAATGCAGCTGGCTCAGGGAACTCACGGTAAGCAAAGGTAGGTTGCAGTGCAGTGGCAAATGTGATCTGTGTGCCTTTCTCAACCACTGCAGTCAATGAAAACACACAGCTGAGGAATGGCAGGTGTTTGTTATCAATCCTCACAAAAGCCAGACCATTAAGTTGCATCTGGAAGAATGCAGAGTGATAGGAGTGTTGTGATAGACCACTAGCATGTCCTGAACACTGGGTTTAATCGCTTTGTTCCTCCTTCAAAAGATACACACACAAAATATGAAACATTTGGGCAAACTGGGTGGTGCAACAAGCTCCTATGTGACTTCCAGTGTACCCTGTAAGTGTTTCCTTGTGTCTCTGCCCTACAGGTGCAGCCAGTCAAGCCCCATAAGGTGATGAGCCACAAAGTGGGGATCACCAAGTACCTGGGCATGAAGTGGGACCCAGACCTCGATCACACACTCACACATAAAGACAAGTGCAGGCAGGATGCAGAGTAGTTATCAGAGAGGCACGTCCTGCCTGCTGGACCACTCTCAGGCAACAAAGAAATACCAGGTCTGCACCTAACACCTACCTGAAACTAGACTGACACTCGCATGAAGCAACCTTTTCCCAACGCACATGACCAATTGAATACGCACCAGTGGAGGAATCTGAACTTCAGCTTCCCATAAATCAGATGAGCTCTGTGAACTGCTGGTATTAAGGATTGATCCCAGATTACTGGCTTTCATCCAACAGATAGCTAGTTACAAAAGGAAACAGTTAACAGCCCTTCATTTTTCACCCTTGAATCCAGCCCCCCTCTTCCCATAGCCAATCATCCACTCAAACACACAACCTCCTTCCTACATGGTAACACTTCCCAGCTCTCCAAAAACACCTTTTGCAACGACGTTCTCAGTATGCTTGCACCACTGGGAGGTAACCTCAAGATCCAGGCTCCCCTCCTGGTGCACTTCCTCGCCCAGCAGATCTCGTGGTGCTCCAGGTCCCTCCTCCCTGTACCTGCTCCTCTCTAGTTCTCCCCATCACCACCTCCCCAGTTATCACCTCCTCCACTGCATGGACTAAGCTGTTCAACGACACCTATAAAATAAATCTGAAAAAATGACCTAGTCACAAACAAAACATGTTCCTTCTCACAAGCACTGGGGGTGGGGAGGTTGTGTTAAATAGCTCATTTCGCAGATCCAGCTGAAAGCAGGGCTGCAGAAACAATGGCAGAAGCAGGGCTAAAGGGGGGTAGCAACCTCCCATGGAGGAGGATGAGAACACACAGCTGGGGATGCAGAAAAGAGGTGGAAAGCTCTTCAACCCTGATGAGGAAACAAGGGAGAATTGTAGGTGTATCTCACAGGCAGAGTGAAATAAGTTAAATTCTTAACTTATTTAAGAATAAATTAATGGGTAGGTCAATTTAAATTGAGGGTGCAGTGCTAAATAAAACAATGGAACAACAAGGGAATAGAGGACAAGTGTTTCCTTTGAGAAACTGCTCATGTGCTACATTATTTTCTGGCAGGAAACCAGGAGTGAAATTTTTATTTCATATGCTTTCTGGTTTTGAGTAGCTGGATGCCTGATACAGGTAAATAAAAAGTAAAATATATTCTTCTTTCTGTTTTGTTCGTTTTTTCAACTTCTTCCAGTAGTCTCTGCATCTTTTATTTTAATTCCTACAAAACTAGGAAAATGACAAATAGGAAAACTTATGTGCCGGTGTAAAAGTGGATGTTGGCAATTACCAGCTGAATATGAATATTTTTCACACATGAAAAAAAAATTCTAAACTATATCAAATAAGAATAAAATTTAATGTCATTTTGTATCACAATCTTAGGTTTTCTTTTTTAATTTGCAGTTTTTAACTGCTTTGTAAATTCTCAGCACTGTGGTCTGCCATATTCTTTAAGTAAAACATGCACTGTATTAACAGAAATCAATCTTAAAAAAAGCTGGACTTTTAAGTAAATGCAACACATGAAAATGTTATACATTTGACTGAAGCTTACAGTGAATTGCATAATGTAACCAAAGTTTCCTTGTATGAAAGATTCTGTTATACAAGGGTGGGAGAACTGTGCTAGCATTACATGATTAGCACTCCCAGGCAAAATCAGAGTAAGACAAAGAAGAATACCTATAACAATGGTGAAAGCACTATGTAGAATAGGATTGCAGAAGTCCCTGAGGTTCAAAAGCAAATTGTGAAAGTAGCTACAGTACGTTTAGGCCAAAAAGTTTTTTAGTGGCCAGTCAGTCTGCACTATCTATGAGGAAGAAGACTGAAAATCAAAACAATAAAAATCATAGCTGTCTACTACCTGCAGACCGGCTGCCAAGCCTAAACCATGCACACCTGTAGGTAACCAGAAGAGGTGCTTCCAACAAAATACATACTTTACCATGTGGCTAGAATATCTCTGTTGATCAAAAGGTTTTGCATTGCATGCTGTACTGCCTCTCCCAAAGGGACAAGAGCTTGCTACTGCTTGCCACTGACACATAAAAAAGCAGTTATAGCTCTGTCAGAGAGCACAATTGCTCCAGTAAACAGGCATTAATCGTGCACATTATGTACAGCATAATACGTGTGAGCTTGTCAGCAGGCAAACAGCTCTCTCTCTGAATAAGATCCCTTTCCAAATTAGGAGAGCCAAATTACACAAGCAGACAGCTGTTTGCTGACCTACCTAAAACAATTTGGTGGTCTCAGTCCAGTTCCCCATGGGCAGGTGTCTGCTTTGCAGAAAACATCAGCACCATTTGCATTAGTGACAGGCTGGCCAGCAATCCCAGCAGGCGCGCCAGGGCAGGGCTGGCCTTGCCTAGGTTTTTTCCCCATGGCCCCAGGGTTGATACCCTCAGGCAGGGAGGGTAGACTGGGAATACAGTCGGCCCCCACTTAGAGGCTGCCTTTCCAGTCATCTCGGTCTAGCCGAAAAAGAGTCCATTTCACAGAAAGCAGCAGGAAAAGCAAGAGCTATGTTAGCAAACTAAAAGTCACTAAAGACTGGCTAATTTTTAGGAAGAAAATCTAGGATTTCACAGCTCTGTTTAGTAGGAACCTTGCATTTATCCAGCTAGAAATCATGCCCTGAATTCAGCAATTATGAGATCAGATCTCCACAGCTAATTTATTTCCAGTATCTTCAAGAAAACTTGAGTAAGAAATTAAGATCGTGGGCTTTTAAGTTTGCTTTTCGCTCTCTGCTTGAGGTCATTACACTGTAATGACTTGCATTATTCTAGGGAATTAAGTCCACTGCTTTATACCCATTCTACATAGAGGAAAACTCATGCAGAAAGAGCTTATGTATTTAGCAAAAACCGCCTACCTATCTCAGGCATAATTAGTCCAGGGACAGAACCAAGATATCCCAAATGTCAGCATGTACATTAAACCACCAATGTAAAATGTCATTTTTCCATATCATACTTTAAGATGTCAGGCTTCAAAATCATCCAATTTTCCAATCAGTCTGAAAGGACTTGTATAAAGCATCTTTCTTTTAAATGAATTTCAGAAGTTTTACTTTTCATTCCAGCTCTGGACAGAGCAGATGAAAGTCAACTGATTTGTCTGGAGTACATTCTCCTCTCTAGGTCTTTTCACTGCCTGAAAACAGCATCAAGAGCACTAATACTCTAAAATGGTAACTTGGCCAGCGATTCAGTAGCTAAGGCAGCAGCTTTGCAGGCATTAATAGAAAATCCAACTTACTTGTTTGAATGCTGCTATGTGGGGTTAACTGGTATCACTACCACGTTCGCTTGCTCCAGAAACTCTGACTTTGAATGTCAAAAGCTTTTGTTACTGATGCATCTGTACATAATTACCATTTCTTTATTGAACACTAATTGTGCATGCCATGCAGCTGTGCCAGAGTAAGTCTCAAAATAGATGCCATAAACTGCGATGGACCAAATTGTCTCCTTACTCCCGGCTGACCCCAGACCATCAGAGCTGTAAGTCAAAGCACGGCATGGCCTCAAGGACCAAATTCACCTCTGAGTAAATCTCTTCTGTTCTATTTTATGAGTCATTCATATATTAATCAGCCTTACACAGTGAGAAGCTGCTGCTTGTCAGAACCAATCATGATAGCTGGTAACCTCTTTATCCAGCCTTGGGTTTGCCATGTGATTTACCAACAAGGAAGGATTAGGGGCACTACAGTGGTAATCATAGCAGCAGCATCATTTTGAGTTTCTCTTACAAAAAGGAGCACACCTGTGGATCATACTGCACTGCTCTTTTAATTTTCAACACTCTGGATATTCATGGTGCTGTGCACAAGTAGATTCTTTCTTCATCAGTTTCCATCTCTTTCTGTCTGAGAGAACATACCCACCATCTGTGAGAGAATGCTTGCTACTCCCATAATGCCCTCTCTGCAACTATCTTACTCCATCTTTTTCCAAGATTTTCCAGCCTCTAACCACTCTAGCTGCCCTCTGGATACCAGTTCTCAAACTCGTTCTTGTGCCCTTCTTCCTTCATCTGTCTTGGTATTGTTCCTCAACTACTAGCCAGTTTCTCAAAATATCACCAATATATGTTTCTGACACCAACATGTCCCCATATTCCTCCTACATATAGCCACTGTAAGAATAGCTGTGCAGATATAGCCACTGCCTTTCTTCTTTCTCTAATTTCAACTCCCTCTAATATGAAATCATGCTTTCAAATGAGATGGATTTTGGCTTCTGAACTAGGAAAACAAAGAGCAAGGACAACTGCCTTCACCTTCCCAAGACTTGTTTCTTATTTCTTTCCTGACAAGTGTCAGAACATAAAGCATTCAAGAAATTTCAAAGCAGTTTTTAATACATCCTAAATACCTTCTCATGTTTCTTTTGGCTGAAATAACTATAAATTCATGAATACACTAACCATCCCATGACATCCTTTTTCAGTGAATAATTATCTGTGGAAGAACAGCACCTCTTTATCCTCTAGTGTTCCTTTATCTGGACACCTATACTCTTCCCTGCACTTACCAGCGCTTTGAACTTCCTCAACATCAGATTTCCCTCAAACTTGCAAATACATTCTCTCTTACTTCACTGCATTACTGAGTAGCTGTTATAAGAGCATCTCATTTTCTGTATCCCCTTATTTCTCCTTCAGTCTATGAGATTCCCCTCCAGGTTTTATTGATTTTTTTGTTTTGTTTTGTCTTTATTGTTTTCCACTTCTCTTCAGGAAATTACCACCATATGCTTGCTCTATTGCAATTCTCTTTCCCCAAGTGGTGCCTTCTTTTGGCCATTGTTACAACCAATATACCTGGCTAGATCTAACTCGGTATGGCCTTTCTTATGTTAATCCTAATTGAAAGTACAGCCTCAATCTCTACATCTGCCCTCTTCTAGCCAATGCAATATCCTAGCCTGCCGTTATGGCATTCTGTCTGAAATATTTAATCTTTGTCCTAAATTTAACACAACCAAAGCTGAAGTCTTGGACTTGAGTTCTTAACCAAAATATGACAATGCATAGATAAATGGTTCTCAGGCTTTAAATTTCATTCAGGCTCTAATGATTTAGCGGCATGGTCCTTGCAACTTTCTGATGTCTATACTAAATTCCTTCAATTTGTGAAAAACTACACAACTAAGGCTACTCCTCAGATTATCATTTTGACTGTTATTCCCATGTGTGAACCTATTGCTACTATTCCTTCTGCCACATACTTCATACTTAGACTTTCATTCTTGATTTCAAGGATAAAGATAACTTTATGCTTCTCTCACCCTTGTTTTTTCACACCTTAATGAGAACAGTGAAGACAATGTGCGTGCAGTAGCTGTTTCCTCATCCTTTATCCCATCCTGCCCATCGGTAGCAGAATGTGCTGGTCAGTGATACTGCCCCATTCTAACCCCTGCTCAAACTTATTTCATGACACTTTCAACAGTTTATTCTGTTCATATTAGGACAGAAGTATTGAAGGAGAGGACTCTAGTACAATGGAAACATTGCTGAGGGAGTGATGCAATGCTGAACAGTGGATGGAGGTTG